AGCAAGGGGTTTTGCCATCTCAGAACCAGAAAAATACCAAATTATATTCTAAAAAATGATCATCTACAACATTCATTAAATTTAATTTCAAAACATATTCTTGTCCTGATTTACATGTGTTTGTGTAGTGTGCACAGAGGTGATTGCACAAAAGCTTAAAATGAAGTCCGACTCTTGTATATTGTGGGGGGTGGGTATAGGTTTGTGGGGGCTGTGGGTGTTTGGTTATGTGGGGTGTGGGTGGGTATGGGAGGAGGGTGGCTGGGGTTTGTGTATAGCAGTGTGAGGGAAGGCATAGGAGCATATGTATGGAGGGATGTGAGTGTGGGACTCACCCTATGAACGCACACATATACTCTGCCCCCGTGCCTGCCAACACATGCGCACACATACACACCCCTACCAGTGCAGTCCCATGCTCCACAGTCCAGGGATGCAGCTGCGAGCCACAGCCAGGTGGTGCTAGAGCAGGGCCCGGGGCAGGAAAGCAGGGAACTGGCTGGGAGTGGGTAGGGCTGGGCTGCTCAAGCCTGCAAGCCTGCTGAGGGCTCCCTCTGGGTCCTACTGCCCCTGGCTCCAGCCAGCTTTGACAGGGAGCCATGACAAATAAATATTAATTTACTAAATTTTTTAGGGGCTCCGTGGGCCAGATAGAATGGCCTGGCAGGCCGCTTCCAGCCCACAGGCCATATTTTGCCCGCCCCAACTGTAAGATCACCCCCAGATTCAGTCCACATTGGATTTTAAATGGAAGTTACATTCACAGAACTACTACAGAAACATATGACGCTATATAACAAGAAGGGGAGGTAGAGATATTTTGATCATACAATAGTAATGCCCTGTTAAATATATATCTGTATTAACAACTGAGTGAACCAAAAAAAAAAGTCAATTAAAATCTAAAAGCCATTCTCTTTCATTCGCTTTCAGAAAGTGTTGGACTTCAAGGATGGGTCCCCATGTGCAGGGGCATGTGGTTTGTGGCACCACAGACTACTCTGTGGTGTCACAAACCTCATGTGGGGAATGTGAAAACGTGTACTGCACTGCAAACTTACAGTGTGGTGGCAAAATATGCTACCAGGTTTTCCAAAATCTCCTGGGAAAAAAAGCAGGGCAGAACACACATCAGTAGCGTATTCTGCAACAAACATAGGGCTGGCTGTCCAGAGCAATGCTCTGGGTAGCCAGGCTCTGTGCTGCCAGATCTGCACCCCTGCTGCACCACAACACCAGGCAATATTGCTGGGGCCAGCACAGGTGCTGGCCCCTGTGCACTGAAGCACACGTACAGGGGCACAAAGCAGAAGCAGAACTTTGTGTTGCTGATATTTATGTCTCCACAAACACATCCCCCTGCATGTGGGGACCTGCCCCAAAATGTCATCAATGTTCCTTATGTATCCCTCAATTTCAATTATAAATGGTACAATTGGGTATCAGATTTAGCCAGGATATGACTTAGATCATGGCTGTCCAACTTCAAAGCAGCCACAGGCCACATACTACACCAGTCCTGGCCCCCAGACCACACACCACAAGGGCTGCATGCCATGGGGTTCTTACATTGTACAGAATTCCTGGCACCCCCACTGCATACAGCATGCATGAGGCTCCCCCTTCCCCCCATCATGGGATCCCCATCTGCTTCTTCACGGGCAGTTTGAGACCCCTTCATGCTAAAACCCACTCTGCCCACACCCTCACCCCTGCCACAGCTGTATGGGAGAACTCATTTACCACTCCGCTACTGCTGCAGCACAAACAGCATGAGCTGCCCAACAGTGCCACACCTCCCCACGGCACGGGCTGCCTCCAGCCACGCTACCCTGCCCTGAAGATCCTGCCTACCTCCACAGAAGCAGAAGCAATGGAGGGAGCAGTGGCAGGGCAGGAGTCCACAGGCAACCCATTAATCCTTCACAGGCTGGATGAAGGCTGTGTGCTGCCAGTTGGACATCCCTGGCTTAGCTGCTTTAAAAGAGCGTGATTTTCTTAAACAGAAAATAGAACTGGTATGACAATTCTACAATAACTTGTTTTCTCAGAATCAAATACTGGGGAACCCATATTTATTAAGGGATAACCTGGGAGTGGTTTTGTGTTACATTACAACACCAGCCCTTCTTCTAGAAGAGCAGAATGCGTGTTTATTACAGCCAACACTTCCACGTGGCATGTGCGTCCAGATTACCTCAGAACTTGGAAGAAAAGTGATTTGAGTAGAGCCGCCTCCCAAGTCCAACATACCGACGCTTCTCTTTCTTGGAACGTTTAAGTTACCTGGAACGTAGAACAGGATGTAATGAAAGCTGTTTTGCAATCACTAGCGACTCAAAACGTTTAAAGCATTAAAACCAAATGATGGCCAATAAAAGAGGAAAAACATAACTCTACCTTTCTCCAGTCCAAAAGAAAGCAACTAGCTATTACTAGTTCTCAAATCAGTAATTACATTCCTGCACATTTGCCAAAATGTAAAACAAAAACAAAGGGCACTTTTATACATGCTTGAGGGGTGGGGGGAGGGGGCAGTGCCTTAATTAGAGTGGCTCTGAGAATCACTCTAATTTAAGCAACACAGCATCTTGTGTATCAGCATCCCTGTGCTTCAAAATGGCAGCTGGTGTACTTAAACTAGAGCTTGTCGAATGAGCTTTAGTTCAAATGCCCCTGCCACCATTCTGAAGTGCGGGGACGCTGATACATGAGGCGTGGAGGCTGGCTGGTGCATGGCAACTGCCATGCTCCAGAAGACTCAATTACCTGAGTCGGCTCTGACACACTGTAATTACAGCGCACCACAGCAGCCTCTTTGCTCATGTACTAGCACCCCTAAGGCAGAAGCTGGTTCCTGCAAGCTGTTATTCTGCATCACATCCTGGAGCTGCAGAGATAACCCTTTGTGGGCTGGAAAACAGGAAGTTGATAACATTCCTCAAAAGATCCCCAGTAGATAGAAAGGAGAAAAAACCTAACAGAAAGCCCAAACAACTAGGAATATGAAGGTTTGATTCTTCTAAGATTTTTACATATGTGAACAGTCCCACTGATTCAGATTGTGTATGTCTGTGCAGAACTAGAGCTTCCGATACCATTCTTTTAAGAGATGCCTGGTTACAAGCATGCTACCATTATTTAAAACGCATTAGTTTTCTAACTACTTAGAAAACTATCACAAAGCCATAGTTTTTATTTCACAAGAGTGAATCCAGCAGGCTGTAAGTACAGGGATGGGCTTGTTTTATGTAGCTTTCATTTTTGTCTCCTGTGCACACAGGTGCTTGCACATTGCGCACAGATATGGGGGGGGATAAGATATGGGGGGATGTGGGCACACTAGAAGGAAACAACA